GCCCATTACAGCCTCCTATATTTTTTTTACTGAAGAGCTCCCATGTTGCTATGAATCTTCTGAACAGTACCTTTGAATGGGTCCACAGTATTCTATTTCCCTATTTGTGGACGTTTAGGTCGGGGAGGGCCAAGCTAGCACATAGAACCTTTGTTAAGTTACACAAATGCATCCTCTTTTCTGGGCTGGCTGAAGTGCCTGGCTCAGTGAGCTGCACAGAGGCTGGCTTTAACCCCTTACCCGCTTTGCCAGTGTTCTTTGTACAGGACACAACTTGCACACTGGTCAGGGAAGCCCGGGTCTGAGTGTATGGAACCTGCTTTTCTCTTTGTTTCAGAGTAGGGCACACACGATGTCTGAATTAAGAGTCACTAGAGATCCTTTTCTCCAAATACCTCCTTTACACAGAAGGAAAAAAAAATTGTAGGGTTTTATATTAATATGTTGTTTACTGATTCATAAAGCATAGTTGAAATCTATTATTTTTCAGTCTCAATAATTTTTAAATTTTAGTCCAGAAATTTTGACTAACTTTGCTACAAACTAGGATAAGGTCCCCAATCTCTTGACTTTCTGCAGTACTTTTAATTACATCATGCTGATTCAAGTAGCACCTTATTTCCTATTTTACATTTAGCTGTGACATAAGCATTATTTAAAAATGCTTACTATCAGAGATGTATTCATCCTTTTATGTCTGAATTCTTAACTTCTGAAACTAAAACTTTCTTCCTTTCTTTTGAACTTCGCTTTGAAGAATATTTTTTGGCCAGCTAAAATAAAATATAAGTACTATGTTTTAAAATTAAAATGATCACCTTTCCGCATATCTTTATAAATATTCATCCATAACTATAGTACTTTGGTTCCTGTGACAAGTTTGCTATTTTAATAGCGCACATTTCAAAGGACAAAGGAGGAAAAATATGACATCTTCCTTTCCTTCAATTTAAATAACTTTTTTCTGAACACTTATTTTAATTTTCTAGAGAAAAAGTTCAATTTATTTTCTAAGGCTTAAAATAAATGGAATAAAGAAGAAATTAAGCCAGGTGTGGTGGCTCATCCCTGTAAAACCAGCACTTTAGGAAGGTGAGGCAGGAGGATCGCTTGAGCTCTGGAGTTGGAGATCAGCCTGGGCAACATAGTGAGACCCCCATCTCTACAAAAAATAAAAAGAATTACCTAGGCATAGTGGTGAACATCTGTAGTGCCAGCTACTTGGAAGGTTGAGGTGGGAGGACCACTTGAGTCTGGAAGGTCAAGGCTGAAGTGAGCCACAATTGCACCACTGCACCCCAGCCTGGGCAACAGAGTGAGATGCTTTGTCAAAAGAAGAAGAAGAAATCAAGTCTATATCTAACTAGTAGATTGAAATTCTCAGCACATGCTTTCTCCGCAGATACCATTGTGGCCAATTGTGTAAGGTCCTTGATGGTAGGAAATGCATCTGACTCCTCTTTATGATCCTTCACACAATGCCTATCAACATGGTTCCCAATAAATTCATGTTGATTGAATGAATGATACAACTGCCATCTTTCCTTGTCCATATCCGTTCTGCTCTGGCCACCCTAACTACCCATTCTCTGAACACAGGGCCCTCCTTCACATCTCCATGCCTTTGCAGATGTTATTTCCTCTGCTAGGAATACTTCTTCTCTAGTGATTCCTTTGCCTAGCTCTTCCTCATCTTTTAAGATCCACCTCAAGTGCCACGTCTTTTGTGAAGCATTTCTCAAGGCCAAGATGGTGCCTCATTCATCTTTATGTTCCTAGTGGCTGGCACAGAGTCAAAGTTAACTAAACGTGTAGTGAATGAGCAAGTGAATGAAGAGAAGGGACAGAGCCAGGATTCCACAGTGGATAAGAGCATATATCTCTATAGCTATCTATCTATCTATCTATCTATCTATCTATCTATCTATCTATCTACACACACACACACACACACACACACACACACACACACATATAACCTGAATTCATTGCCCTGCTTCTTGACTTACCACTGTGTGACCTAGGTCAGGTGGTCACACTGTTACCAGTCCCAGTGTTACCACTCTGGGACTTAGTTTTCTTAGTTGTAGAATGAAGATAATGATAGTACTTGACTCAAAGGGTTCCTGTGAGAATAGAATGAGATCTTGTACATAAAGTCCTTTGTCTAATAAGAGCTAAATAATAATCATTGTCAGCAGAATTGTTCTATAGTTTTTCTTTGATTGTAATGGAACTATTCAGTGTTGGCTGAAGCTGGCTGACCTCAGCATGATGGTATCAGATGGAAATGTTTTGATTGGGAAGCCAAAATGCCACCACTGCATTTTCTTCCAAACTAAAGAAACTCCAGTAAAGCAAAATCCATGTAACAGGAAAACACTAGTTGATTAGAATTTCCTGACACTTGAGTTCTAAGAGAAAGAGACAAACCACACACACAAACCTAATAGAAGAATATTCCTAAATGTAAACACCTTGCAAGTAACTGCGAGGGGATAACTCTAGAATATCTTCAGACTAATAAATGTTTATTCCTTAGCACAGGGGCAAATAGCCATCTCAGGAACTGAATTCAGCTCACTCATTGGTGATTTGGCTTGACATTGTGTTTTGAAAAATTCAAAATGTATGCCAACATGAAAAAGGAAACTATATAGAAATTTTTGAATACATACTAATTACGGTAATTAATGTGATGAATCTCCATGTAACTTATTGCCCAGCTTCAATAATTAGCAGGACTCTGTCATTCTGTTTTATCCTTCCTCTCCCCCAATCCCCCTTCTTTTTTTTTTTTGGCTAGAGTATTTGAAAGCAAATACCAGGACATCATACACTTCTTTTTTAAAAATTTACATTTTATTTTAAGTTCAGGGGTACATTTACAGGCTGGTTACATAGGTAAATGTGTGTCATGGGGCTTCGTTGTACAGATTATTTCATCACCCAGTTATTAAGCCTAGTACCCATTAGTTATTTTTCCTGATCTTCTCCCCTCTTCTACCCCTCACTCTCCAATAGGCCCCAGTGTCTGTTGGTCCATGTGTTCTCATCATTCAGTTCCCACCTATAAGTGAGAACATGTGGTATTTGGTTTTCTGTTCCTGTGTTTGTTTGCTAAGGATAATGGCCTCGAGCTCCATCTATGTTCCTGCAAAGGACATAATCTTGTTCTTTTGATGGCTGCTAAGTATTCCACGGTGTATACATACCATATTTCCTTTATCTGGCCTATCATTGATGGGCATTTAGGTTGATTTCATGTCTTGCTATTGTGAATTGTGCTGCAACGAACATACGTGTGCATGTGTCTTTAGATATATTTCACTCAGAAATATTTCAGTGTGTATCTCCATCAGATAAAGACTTTAAAAAATAAGTAACCCCAATCATTTATTACAACCAACAAAATTAAAATTAATTTCTTAATATGATCTGACACCCAATCTGTGTTCGGTCTTCCCTGATTATACCAAAAAGTCTTTTTTTGTTGTTTCAAATAGTTATTTTGTTTGAATCAGACCACAAACTACATTTGTTGGCTACACGTCTTAAGTCTCTTAATGTATAGCAGTTCTCGTCCTTTGTTGCCATGCCATTTACTTCCTGAAGAATTTTAAAGTTGATAAATAAATATGAAAACATGGATTTGTGGCTCCTTTTGAATAAATGAGAAGAGCTGGCAGCACTGGTTTATACTCCCATAAGGCAATACTTGGCTGGAGCTGAGTAAAGGCTGTGAACTTTAGACACTGCAAGTTTTCTACAGTCTACACCAGTCCCTATTGTACCAACTAGTATGACTCATTTGTGTTGCCTGCCTAGCAGCGCCAGTGGGCTTTGAGCAGGCCACCTCAGCCCTACGTCTGCTTCTGATAGGCAATAAGAACTGATGCTTGAAAGATGATCTTAAAGTCCTAAACCCTTTCTAGCCATTAAGTAGATGCTTAGTTTTGTGCATTACATTGCTTAGGTAGGCATGTAAGCGAAAACATTTAAAGATTTTTCAACGAAGAATTGAATCAACAATTTTTTAAAAAAAATTCTAAGTTAACCTGACACTTTATGAACTGGCATCTCTCTTTTCTTGAGCGTTCCAGTTAATCTGCTTTACTGCCTTCCACTCTGTAAATATCCTTTTCACCTGTGTGAGGGTTTGAGCCTACAAAGACCGCTGGACATAGTGTCACAAGACCCAGACTTGAGTCCTGGGCCTCTATGAGCAGTGGACCATTATTTTGCTTCTCTGGGTCACCTATGCAGAGTAGAGGTAAAACAGCCTGTCTCTCAGAGTTATTGTGAAGTTCAAATAAGGTAACAGATGTGAAATTAGTTTGTAAACTGTATAGCTTTATGCTTAAACAAGGTATTACTAGGCATAAGGATATACTGAATTATGCATCACATCCTCTTTCACGCCGCTGTGCATTTACCCTGCTGTTTCCTCTCCCTGTAATGCCCTCAGGAATTAATTGTTAGTCATCTGTGGTCCCTAAACACTTTATGCCTGTTTCTTTGCAACGTTTGTCACACTGTGTTAAAGCCATTTGTTCACATCTATGTCTTTGGTGAGATTCTGAAAGTAAACCACAGTTTATTTAGTGCTTGGCATACAGGTAACCCTTAGTAAATGTCGGATTAGATAGATTTAAATAATTACTATCTGTGTGCCTATCTTGAAGGACAAAGTCCGTGTACATACAGTTCTTTAGGTATGCCATCTGGTAACTGACCAGTCTAATGATGATGCCAACGATGAAATAGTCATGAAAATGGAGTTCTGTATTTTTAATTTAAGAAAATGATCAGACTTCTTGAGTACATTTTTTTTTGCATTGTATTTTTAAGCCCATGAACAATGAAAGAGTCTAGATGTAGAATGTCTATCATTTAAAAATATTTTCTCCTGCTGGAGAAAACTTAAGCTTCCAGTCATAGTTCTTGGCCTCAGTTCTCTGGTTCTCCTGATTAACTTAGAGCTTCTTGCTCCTTTACAGCTGGTTTGCCATCCACCCGGTCAGCATGAACAACAGTAACCATCTTGTAAACAGTGACAATGTGGGCTATGCATCTTACCTGCTTGAGCAAGAGAAGAACAAAGGATATCTACCTGGGCAGGTGAGAATTTATATCATTGAAAGTTTCATCTTGAGTCACTGAGTATCATCATTCATGCTGTGTTCAGAATAGGTGATTCAAATCTCCAGAATAAAGTGTCATCATCCATCTCACATATTGATATGCTTGGATAGAGAGCATTTACCATCCTCCCTAACGTGGAAAGAGAAATAAAAAATGAGTACTAATCCATTTGCTTTCTGTGTCACATAGTCCTTGTATTAAGTGCTTCATAAAGTTATTAGTTGAATAAGGAAGGGCAAAGTTCAAGATTTTTGTAATAACAGTAGTTTTTGATTAAACTGAAAATATGACAAATTGTTGATATTTACTTACTTTCATTTTTAGAGCTATACAGGGATTAAGCACCATTTTATTTTTATTTTTATTTTTTTGAGACAGAGTTTCACTCTGTCACCCAGGTTGGAGTGCAGTGGCACAATCTCAGCTCACTGCAACCTCTGCCTTCCGGGTTCAAGCAATTCTCGTGCCTCAGTCTCCTGAGTAGCTGAAATTACAGGTGCAAACCCCTACGCCTAGCTAATTTTTGTATTTTTAGTAGAGACAGGGTTTCTCCATGTTGGTCAGGCTGGTCTTGAACTCCTAACCTCAAATGATCTGCCCGCCTTGACCTCCCAAAGTGTTATATTACAGGCAGGAGCCACTGCGCCAGGCCCAAATTCGGAAGACTATATAATGGGATAAGAGTCCCAGGCCCTTACCTACAATTAATATTCCCTTTTAAAGATATTAGCTTCCATTAACATTCAGCCTGATCATTTAGCTCTGTCTTTGTTTTGTGTTAGCAGAATAACTGAGACTGGATAATTTATAAAGAAAAGAGGTTTTTTTGGCTCATGATTCTGCTGGTTGAAAAGTTCAAGACTGAACAACTGCATCTGGTGAGGGCCTTATGCTATTATCAATAAAATAAAAATTTTCTCAGAATATTGTACATAAATAATGATAGAAAACAGAAGAGGAGGCCGAACGCAGTGGGTCACACCTGTAATCCCAGTACTTTGGGAGGCCAAGGTAGGTGATTCATGAGATCAGGAGTTTAAGACCAGCCTGGCCAACATGGTGAAACACCATCACTGCTAAAAATACAAAACATTAGCCGGGTATAGTGGTGTGTGCCTATAGTCCCAGCTACTTGGGAGGCTGAGACAGGAGAATTGTTTGAACCTGGGAGGCAGAGGTTGCAGCGAGCCAAGATCGTGCCATTGCACTCCAGCCTGGGGGACAGTCTGAGACTCTGTCTCAAAAAAAAAAAAAAAGAAAGAAAAAAGAGGAACTAGGATTTGCAAAGAGATCACAAGTGAAAGAGGAAGCAAGAGAGGAAACACTGAGGAAGCCAGGCTGTTTTTTAGCAACCTGCTCCTGCAGGAACTACTGCAATCCATTCCCTAGAGAGTGAGAAGCCATTCACCCTGTGGGAGGGCATTATTCTATTCATGAGGGATCAGTCTCTTCCTACTAGGCTACAGCTCTCAACAATGCCACATTGGAGATCAAATTTCAGCATGAGTTTTGGCAGGAATAAACCACATCCAAACCAAAGCAAGCTCCTTTGTTGGCAAAACTCACTCTATTTTCTCACTTTAGCCTGCATTTTAGAGAAAAGAAGAGATTTTTCTATTTATGATCACTGCCTGAGTGCTAGGCACTTTGAAATAAATTATCTTTTTAGTATCAAAAAAGACTTATATCTCTAATACTTAGTTATCTCTTTCCCGAAGAAAATTCGAGGCATTTAAGGTAGAATACTATAGTGGTTGGGTTGAGGCAGAGACCTTGCATGGCTCTAATTCGGTTGAAGAGAGAGAGAAAAGATACACCGAGGGCAAGTCCAGATGGTGTGTTTAGTTTCATTGTGCAACAGGAAAGTCTGTATTTGCTTTTTCCTGTTTAAGCCAATAGCATATTTATTTTTAAAAGGCAAATGGATCTCTGAGCTCCAGATAAAACACAATAGACTAGATTGACTGGTCAGCATTTTATAATTTGTTATTGCACACAGTGTTTCTGCTTAAAATATTTCTGTTTGAGGCATAATTTGAAACTCTCCCACTTGAAACAGCTTTGTTGATAATTCGAATATTTTCAGTAATAATATGTACACCAATGGTAATGTGAGCCTTTACAGGAATAAAAAAATTTCTCAGAATTATTTTTTTTTCTGATTTTTTTTATAATTGTATAACTTAAATCTGGAATACATGTTAGCAGGAAGTGGCAGCTTGGTACGCCACAGTATACCTTGTTTATGGTGGTTTGGGCCCTGACCTATCAACTGCATCGATTACATTAGGTATTTTCTCCTAATGTATCCCCTCCCTTTTTCTCTTTCAACCCCCCCCCGACAGGCCCCTGGTGTGTGTGATGTTCCCGCCCCTCCCTGTGACCATGTGTTGCTCATGTTCAATCCCCTTATGGAGTGGAGAACATGTGGTGTTTGGTTTTCTGTTTCTTGTTTAGTTTGCTGAGAATTGATGTTTCTCAGCTTCATCATGTCCCTTGCTAAAGGACCGTGGAACTCATCCTTTTTTATGGCTGCATAGTATTCCATGGTGTACATGTGCCACATTTTCTTTATCCAGTCAATCATTGATGGGCATTTGGGTTGGTTCCTGGTCTTTGCTATTGTGAATATGCTGCAATAAACATATGTGTGCATGTGTATTTATAGTAGAATGATTTATAATCCTTTGGGTATATACCCAGTAATGGGATTGCTGGGTCAAATGATGTTTCTGATTCTAGATCCTTGAGGAATCACCACACTGTTGTCCACAATGGTTGAACTAACTTCAAACTATGCTACAAGGGTACAGTAACCAAAACAGCATGGTACTGGTACCAAAACAGATATATAGAACATTGGAATGAAACAGAGGCCTCAGAAATAACACCACACATCTACAGCCATCTGATCTTCAACAAATCTGACAAAAACAAGCAATAGGGAAAGGATCCCATATTTAATAAATGATATTGGGAAAACTGGCTAGCCATATGCAGAACACTGAAACTGGACCCCTTCCTTACACCTTATACAAAAATTAACTCAAGATGGATTAAAGACTTAAACGTAAGACTTAAAACTATAAAAACCCTAGAAGAAAACCTAGGCAAATACCATTTAGGACATAGGGATGGGTAAAGACTTCATGACTAAAACACCAAAAGCAATGGCAACAAAAGCCAAAATTGACAAATGGGGATCTAATTAAACTAAAGAGCTTCTGCACAGCAAAAGAAACTATCATCAGAGTGAACTGGCAACCTACAGAATATTTTATATCCTCTTTTTATTGTCTGCAAATGATTTTGAATAGTTTACCAGAGTGGATTTAATGTTTGCATTTCTAATGGCAGTCATTACAGGAGATAGGAAAGAATAAAAGGCAACTTGGTATTTCTTTTGTCAGGGGCCATTTGTAGCAGCCTTTGCTTCATCAAACCTAGGAGATGTGTCCCCCAACATTCTCGGCCCACGTTGCATCAACACGGGAGAGTCCTGTGATAACGCCAACAGCACTTGTCCCATTGGTGGGGTAGGTAATTATGGCACATGAAATCTTTGTTTTTGCATCTCAAATACATTTTATATTTGAATATTTACAAATACCTTGTCTTCTAGCATACACTGGCCTAGTTCTCCCTAGCATCTGCTCTTCTCAAAAACACCTGTCCAAATCCACTAAATTTTAATTGAGTGAAGTTATATTTTTCCATTTGAGTGACTGTTAAGTTTTTTGAATGATGAGACAATTCAGTAACTGTCAGAGATTAACTTTACCCTTCCCCAAACTTGGACAATCTGAAACATTTTGCTTTGGCGTTTCGAAAGTCACAAGTTTGTACTAAAAACTGCCTGCCTGAGACATTTCTCATGGATTATACAGTTTATAGGATTTTTCATATAAGACCAAAATTCCTTTTCCTTTTTAAAAAATTACAAGCAGAAGAGAATTGCTGTAAAAAATTCAAATAATGTGGAAGTGCAGAGAATAGTAAAAAGTGAAAGTCCCTCTTCGCCTCGCTTTCCTCTATACTTTGCTCTTCCCAGAAGTTACTATTCTCATACCTCCTCCTATGTATTTATCTATGCATTTATAAACAACATTTTATGACTTATTCATGGATTTTGAATTTTGTATCCAGAACTTCAGTTTTCCACTTAATTTGTCTTAGAAACCTTTCAATGAGTATATCCAGATCTGTGTGATATGTTTTAAAGACAACAAGTAAGGCTATACCATCATTTATTTAACTCCCACAATGTTGATTTGGCTTTGTTTTCAACTTTGACATGAGTAGTAGATGCTATTTTTTGGGTTCTTATTCTTTGTGTTTGTAGAACATTTCTCCTGTGATAAATCTTTTTTGTACCTATTTCTGGGATATTTATTCCATCTCAGTCAACTCTACCCAGTTGGGTTAATACCAGTATTAATAAAGATATTTTTTTCTTACCGACTTTTTAAAGTTCCTAATATACTAAAGTCTTAGTTTTGTCAAAATAGTACAAACTTTTCCTAAAGTTTATCAGTTGTCTTTCTGTCTTATATATGTCTTTTGCCTCCTATGGAAATTTAAGATGTTTAAGCTGTCCAGTTTAACTAAGCTTGTTCTAGATAACTTTCAGGAGGGTCTGCCCATACCCTCATACTACAAAATATGTTTATCCATATTTTCTTTTAGTAATTTTTTGATTCCACTTATAATATTTAAGTGCTTGATCAATCTCAATTTTTTCTGACATAAGAAGTAGGAAATAGGGCCAGATTTGTTTATTGATTTTTTTCCCCAGAAGTCCAGCTAGTTGTTCCAATGTAATTTTAACTGAGTTTTAGTTTAAGGTGATCATGAGTAAGAATCAGAGGCAAGAACAAGCAAGTAGAAAGATGTGCAGTCAATAGAAAGACCTGGCTTCATGTCTTACCTCAGATATGAGATACCTGGATAATCACCAACACATCTTTTAACCTGAGCCTCAATTTCCTTATTTTTAAAAGAAAGGCTTCAGAATAGATAATTTCTAAAGACATTCACTGTTCTAATTCCAGGTATGATTTTGTTTTTATAGTCTTACTTTGAAAGACTACCCAAAAAGAACTGCTAGAATGTGGTTTTAAAAATCTATTTGCTTAGATTCAGTTATAATTCTTCATTCCTTAACATAATTATTTACTTGTCCAAGAATGCATCCTATCTTATTTTGTTCCAGTCTAACATGTGCATTGCTAAGGGACCTGGACAGGATATGTTCGACAGCACACAAATTATAGGACGGGCCATGTATCAGAGAGCAAAGGTAAGCCATGGGCCTCGCTCCTTTCATCTTCATTTAAAATTGTCCTTTAAAATCCATTGACATGGTTCATTAGGAAGTTGAATATTGTAAAGAAAACAGCAAATGCTCAGGTTGTGCTGGGGAGTCTGGAAGAGGTCAGCTTGGGAGGTGGCCTTTGCAATCCACACAGGAACCTCTGTCTGCCTACTCAGGTCTGACTTCTTATAGGAAGTCCGTTTAAAACCAAGTACTCAGGAAAACATTCTATTTTAGAATGTCTAGAAAACCAGAGTGCTTGCTTCAGACACTAGGAAGATAGACTATAAGGTTTTCAATTTCTTGTGGCATTAGATATGACCAGATTGATTCAAATTCTCGGAAGTCTCTAAGGCCTTTGCTTGCCTAAGGTCATCTAGCTATCTCTTAACTTTTCCTCTGGTGACAAGAGAAAGCTGAACCATAGAACTCCAGTTCTTGAAACTTGGATTTAAATTAGTTCCCGGTGTTCTTCAATATGCAAAGATCATCCATCTATTCTTTTCTTTTTGCACAACTTTTTGATGAAGAGAGAATCTGGTCTCCATTGAGATTACTATGAATTACTCTGACTTCCTCCCCCTCCTAAATTTTATTTCCCATTTTGTCCCCATATTTTGTTTCAGCTCCTATGGAGACAGATTTCTAGGCAAAAAGACAAAAAAAAAAAGAATCTCAAACTGAGATGCCCTTGATATGATTAAATCTCTTTCTTTTCATAGCTTATTCATACCTTTGCTCTGTGTGTGTGTGTGTGTGTGTGTGTGTGTGTTTAAATGGTTTATTCCAAGGGTTCTAAAATCTTTTAAGAGCAACTAAGGAAGGACAAAAGCACCTTTAAAGAACAATCTGACACAAAATTGGTAGCAACAGCCAGCCTAATTGCTGCAGTTTCTTTTTAATTACTGTGGTATTATCAGTGGATTTTTCTAAATTCACAGATTCTATTTAGGGTGTGCACCCATGACACACTTTAGTGTCAGAAATTTTGCTCCCATTCTGAGCCTGAGAGTCATAGAGATTTGACCCACATTCTGCATTCTCTTCTCATAAAGGCACAACTTAATTAGGAGTGGCAGGCTGCAGCTGGTCTTGCTGATGACTTATGAGAGCTCTCATGTGGCTGTTGAAACTGGGGTGGGGACAGAGTGGAAATGAGCTAAGTGTCAGGCAAGAGAACATTTGATGAAACAGGATTTGCCTATGTTATATAATGTGAATTAATACAAAGAGTTTTTTAAACATGGGAAACCATAAGATTGAAAAAGCATCAATTGACCATATTAAAACACAAAAGCAAAAGCACCAAAGAGTGGATTGTGGGTGGGTGAGCTGCTGCAGACAAAGTGGGGCTTGAATTCCTCCAAGCCTCCCTTGGCCCCAACCTGCTTCAGGACTCAAGTATTCTGAAAGGAAGACCCTATAAGAACACCCAAAAATACACTCTCACTGTAGCAAAGAAAGTAATTTGGTCCAGTTATTCCTAATCTTAAATTTTCTTGGTGATCTTTCAAGTGAGATTGGGGCCTTTTGTGCCACAGCCTGTATCACCATAATTTCATTTTCGTGGGGAGTTGACACAGGTTAACAGCCTTGGAGACTTCAAGCTTCTGGGAAACTCCTGGGTTTGGTAGAGAGACCCATGTGGTTGGGGGCCAATTCTAAGCAACCAGCAAAACAAAAACTTTGCTGAGAGATGCATTTCCAAAGTGCATCAAATTGGTACTTCCTGAGTACAGTTGGAGATACTCACTTTAGCCTTTTTGCTTGGAATAGTAAGCCTGTGTGTTTTCTAGGAACTGTATGCCTCTGCCTCCCAGGAGGTAACGGGACCACTGGCTTCAGCACACCAGTGGGTGGATATGACAAATGTGACCGTCTGGCTCAATTCCACACATACAGTAAGTGTTGCTGAGAAACACTGGTTATGCCCCAAGGGTGAAGTTTTGGTTTGGTCTCATTATTTACTTTCAGCTTAACTTTCGTTTCTTTATCTGTTCCTTTTTTGTTTTTAAAACTTTTCCTTTAGGCAAAAACATGTAAACCAGCACTGGGCTACAGTTTTGCGGCTGGCACTATTGATGGAGTTGGAGGCCTCAATTTTACTCAGGGTAAGGTGAAGTCCAGTGAAATCTATGGTTTCAGCTTCTGAAGCTTCTGGGTTCCGTTCTCTGATCAGGTTTCACTGTAGCCAATACATTTATTAATTTTTAAACTCAAGGTCTGCTGGTTTTCCAGGCTTACACATGACCATGTACCTCCCCCACCCCAGACCTAAGCAACCACTAATATTTCTGTCTCTATATTTTCCTATTCTGGACATTTAATACAAATGGAATCATATAATATGTGGCATTTTTTTGTTGGCTTCTTTCACTTAGTATCACGTTTCAAAGGTTCATTGATATTGCAGCATGCATCAGTCCTTTTTTTTTTTTTTTTTTGAGACAGAATTTTGCTCTTGTCACCCAGGCTGGAGTACAGTGGCACCATCTCAGCTCACTGCAACCTCCACCTCTCAGGTTCAAGCAATTCTCCTGCCTCAGCCTCCCAAGTAGCTGAGACTACAGGCACCTGCCACCACGCTTAGCTAATTTTTGTATTTTAAGTAGAGATGGGGTTTCACCATTTAGCTAGCCTGGTCTGGAACTCCTGACCTCAAGTGATCTGCCCACCTCAGCCTCCCAGACTGCTGGGATTACAGGTGCGAGCCACTGCTCCCAGCCTCATTCTTTTTTATGGTTGAATAATATTCCATTGTATCAACATACCAGATTTGTTTCAGCCTTCCTCAGTTGATGAACATTTGGGTTATCCCATGTTTGGGTTATTATGAATCTATAAATATTCTATAAATATTCATGTGATTTTTATGTAGGTGTTTGTTTTCATCTTTCCTCTTGGGTATATATCTAGGAGTGAAATTGCTAGATTATATAACTCTATGTTTAATCATCTGAGAAACTGCCATATTATTTCTGAAATATCTACACCATTTTACATTTCTACAGGCAGTGTATAGGTTTCTGACTTTTTAATGTCTTTGCCAATACTTGTTATTATCTGACTTATTGAATCTAGCCACCCTAGTGGGTGTGGAGGGATATCTCATTGTGGTTTTGATTTGTATTTGCCTAATGATTAATGACGTCAAACACCTTTTCATGTGCATATTAACCACATGTATTTCTCCCTTGGAGAAATGTCATTTACGTAGTTTTCTCATTTTAAAATTTGGGTCATTTTTCTTTTTATTATTGAGTTATAAGTTTTCTTTGTGTATTCTGTATTCATTCCCTTATCAGATGTGTGATATAAAAATATTTTCGGGCCAGGTGCGGTGTCTCACGCCTGTAATCCCAGCACTTTGGGAGGCCAAGGCAGACAGATCACAAGGTCAGGAGATTGAGACTATCCTGGTCAACATGGTGAAACCCTGTCTACTAAAAATACAAAATTAGCCAGACGTGGTGGTACACATCTGTGGTCCCAGCTACTCGGGAGGCTGAGACAGGAGAATCGCTTGAATCTGGGAGGCAGAGGTTGCAGTGAACCAAGATCACGCCACTGCACTCCAGCCTGGCGACAGAGTGAGACTCTGTCTCAAAAAAAATTTTTTTTTTCTTCCATTCTGTAGGTTTTTTCACTTTATTGATTGTATCCTTTGAAGCATAAATATTCTTAATTTTTATGAAGTCTAAATTTTCTTTTGTTACTCATGGTTTGGTGTCATATATAGGAATCTTTTTCCAAATTCAATGTCATGAAGATTTACCCCTATTTTCTTATAAGATTTTGATGGTTTTAGCTCTACATTAAGTCTTGGATCCATTTTTAGTTAAACTTTGTGTATCATGGAGGTAATGGCCTGCCTTTATTCTTTTGCATATGGCTATTCAGTTATCCCAGCACCACTTATTGGAAAGACTATTATTTACACATTCTATAATCTTGGCACACTTGTTAAAAATTAGTTGACCTGTGGCTTTCTGTCTGGATTATCAATTCTATTCCATTGATCTGTATGCCTAGCCTTGTGCCAGTAAAACCGTCTCTTGGTTACTGTTTCGCTTCAGATCAGAAAGTATGTCTTTCTACCTTGTTCTCCTCTTCCAAGATTGTTTTGACTTCTGAGTTTCTTGCAGTTCCACAGGAGCTTTAGAATCAGCTTATAACTTTTTACAAAGAAGTCAGCTGGGATTCTGATGGGAATGTCATTGAATTTACAGAATAATTTGGGGAAGTATTACCATCTTAACAATATTATGTAATCTGATCCATATACATTGATATTTTAGCATTCATTTAGATCGTCTTTAACTCTTTTCAACAACATTTTGTAGTTTTAAGAGTATACATTTTGTACTTTTTTGTTAAGTTTATTTCTTAGTATTTCACTCTTTTCTATGCTATTGTAAATGGAAATTTTTTCTTAATTTCATTTTTGGATTGTTCATAAAAATGTATAGAAATACAACTGATAGTTGTATTGACCTTGTATCCTACAACCTTGCTGAACTCATTTATTAATTCTAATATTTTAATGGATGATTTAGGATTTTCTCTATACAAGATCATGTGATCTTAAAATAGAAATATTAATAGTTTTAATTTCTCTTTTCCAATCTGAATGCCTTTTATTTCTTTTTCTTGCCTAATTACCTGGCTAGAACCTTCAGAACAATGTTGAATAAAAGTGGAAAGAGTACACATTCTGTGTTGTTCCTGATAGTATGGAAAAAGCATTCAGTCATTCATCATTAAGTATAATGTTAGCTCTGGGTTTTTAATCCTTTATCAGGTGGAGGAAATTCACTTCTATTCCTAGTTTGTTGAGTGTTATTGTCATAAAATGGTATTAGATTTTTGGCAAATGTTTCTCTCTGTATGTAATTTAAAAATTATATTAATATGTTGTACTGCATTAATCAGTTTTTGTTTAACCAACTTTATATTCCTGGAATAAATCCCAGTTAGTCATGTTCTATAACAATTCTTTCTCTATGTTGCTGTACTCAGTTTGCTAGTATTTTGTTGTAGGTTTTTGTGTCACATTTATCAGAGACAATGTTCTGTAGTTTTCTTTTCTTGTGATATCTTTGTCTGGTTTTGTATCAGGATAATATTGGCCTCATAGAATGAGTCAGGAAGTGTTCCATTTTCTATTATTTTGGAAAAGTTTTGGAAAAGCTAGTACTAATTCTTTGGTTGGTGGAATTCAGCAGTAAAGCAATCTGAGTTCTGTTATTTGTTGTAGGTAGTTAAAAATATGTTATGAATTCAATCTCTTTACTTTTTATAGTTTTTTTTTTTTTTAAGATTGCCTATTTCTTCTTGAGTCAGTTTTGGTAGTTTATCTTTCTAGAAATTTTTCCATTTTATCTAAGTTATCTAATTTGTTAGCATACAACTACTTACAGTATTCCTTTATAATTCTGTTTATTTCTTTAAAGTCAGTAGTAATGTTCTCCCTAATTTCTGATTTTAATAATTTAAATATTCTCTCTGTTTTTCTTGGTCAATCCAGCTAAAGTTTTGCCAGTTTTGTTGACCTTTTCAAAAAACCAGCTTTTGGTTTCATTGATTTTTCTGTTGTCTTTCTACTCAGTGTTTAATTGATTTTCTTTTGAATATTGATTATTTCCTCTTTTTCTTTCATTTGGTTTAGTTTGCCTTCCTTTTCCAATGTCTTCGGGTAGAAGTTAGGTTATTGGTTTGAGATCTTTCTTCTTTCTTAATGTGGGCATTTACAACCATAAATGTCTCACTGAGCACTGCTGTCACTACCATAAATTTCGATGTGTTGTGTTTTCATTTTCGTTCATGATAAAGTATTTCCAGATTTTCCTTTGATTTCTTCCTTGATTATTAACTATTTCAGATCATATTGCTTAATTTCCACATATTTGTGAGCTCCCCCCTTTTTTCCTATTATTTATTTTTAATTTCATTTCACTGTGTTTGGAAAACATATTTTGTATTATTTCTACTTTTGAAAATGTATTGAGGTTTGTCTTTTGGCCAACACATGATCTATCCCAGATAATGTTCCATGTGCACGTGAAAAGAATGTATATTCTGTTGTTGTTGGGTGGAGTATTCTACAGATTGGTAGGTCTAGTTCAAGTTTGCTGTTGATCTTCTGCCTAGTTGTTCTATCTATGATTGAGAGTGGGGTATTGAAAATTTCAGTATTGTTACTGAAATGTGTATTTCTTCCTTCATTTCTGTGAGTTTTCAGTTTATGCTACACCGACATTTATGATTATTACATTTTTCAGATAGAGTATATAGATTCTTAATTCATAGGTTTTATAGTTACAAAACCTTTTTCCTCAGATTATGCATTTGAAGTTTGTTTTTGTTTTTTACTGCTTTTGGTTTTGTTTTTTCTTTTTCTTTGTGTGTGTGTGTATGTGTGTGTAGATAATTAAATGGGTATCCAGGAGAAATTATTTCAGGGACCATAAGTCAGACAACTGGTATTGAGAGTTGGAGGTGTCATTTTTAGTTTTCAAAACAGGAAAAAAGTGATTTAGTCAACAAATCTGCAGTTAATTATGTCAAACTGTTTTTATTTGCAACATGGATGAGCAGGAGTAATAGAAACAAAACTTTAAGGATATTGACAAAATGTACTCTGTCATTCTCTTGACCACACTGAAGATCTAATTAAACAATGGCTCATGTCTTAGGCTGCACAAGACATTTTTCCTATTCTATTATTCAAACTGTTTAGAATTATTGAACAGCAACCTTAATAAAATCTCTGAAACTCCTTAAAAGATTGTTGTACAGTATTTGTCAAAATAATGACTTTTTTCAGAGGTTTGCTTCAAGGAAGTATACTAATCGTAACATTTCTAATAGGGAAAACAGAAGGGGATCCATTTTGGGACACCATTCGGGACCAGATCCTGGGAAAGCCATCTGAAGAAATTAAAGAATGTCATAAACCAAAGCCCATCCTTCTTCACACTGGAGAAGTAATGCATTTTCATTATCATAGTGAAATTGTCATATTGTTATTTTTAAATTTGTGAACTGTCAGATAATGAATGATAGATATCTACTGAGATGGGAGGTCTTAATTTAGATATTCCCATATCAAGTTTTTAATATTAAAAAATGGGTTCTGTGACTCTAAGGAATGAAGGTTATAATTATGATGTATACTGATTTACCTGTTGCACTTATGATTAATAAGTACAATAATTAGGACAGTGGGAAAGGCAGAATAAGATGAACATTTATCTTATTCAGAATTTATTTATGTTGGTTCCAAGAAGGGAGTCAGCATCGAATTTTCTGCAGAAGAAAACATTTCAGGTCATCTAAAATGAAACATGTTCATGTCTAAATTTTCTCACAGTTCAGGCAACATTATCAACTTTATCAACAGCAATTTTCTTTTACATTCCTTTGAAACATATATTTTGCATTCTAAATGTCAAAAGGTCATTTCAATATGCATAAAAACTTGGATTGTTGAGTTAGAAGCATTTAAAAAATATTTTGTTCCTAATATCCTATTAAAATTCTTGAAAGAAGAAAGAGAGGAAAGGAAGGAATAGAGGGACAGGCTATATTATTCTGAATATGGAAAAGGATAAATTCTCTTGGGAAAAATCTTGGAAAATAAGACAAGACTTGGCAACTGTAAACTTAAAGGGCAATTATAATAAAAAGAGAAATTAAGTTAAACCATTCTAAATGGAAGTCCTTATTTATTGGTTATAAGAATAGTCACCAATAATACTCTAGGAAAACGTTTGGTTATCTGTTATACATTGTGATTTCATGATGACAGATCCACCAAAAACTTCATTGATTAGTGCAGGTTAATGGGACTTTGGCATTTGAAATTCTCATGTTATGACTAGGACATAAATGCCCATGTGGAATATTTAATACTATATCATAAATTAGAAACTAGAGGAACTTCTGGGACCACTATGTGTCTGTTAACCATGGAGAGAGTGTTATCCCTAACATAATTTTCTTGTTTTGGGTTCTCAGCTATCAAAACCTCATCCCTGGCATCCAGATATTGTTGATGTTCAGATTATTACCCTTGGGTCCTTGGCCATAACTGCTATCCCTGGGGAGTTTACGTAAGTTCTTCTTTTTATTACTTAGTTAAAAATTTGTTTGTTGTATGTTTCTGTTGGAATTGCTTTTTATAATGAAAGATCATTCTGTACTGACCCCTTGGTATCCTCCTGTACTGTTTGGTGACAGTGACAAATATTCCTACCCTCTTTTGCTGGGGTCTCTGAAGAATAACTATCTCTATGCTTATTATCGATAACTAACCTGAAGCAGACATGAAAATTAAAAAAAAAAACTTACCCCAAATTAAAATGTTGCCATGAGTTATTATGTCAGTAGAAAGATTTGCAGTCATGTTAAAATACAGGTACTTGAAATAATCAGATTAGGTAGTAAAAGCATGGAAGAATGTTTTAAACCTGCTTGATATGTAGTCTTCCTATCTCAGTAACTGGCAATTTTGTATCTTTCCAACAGGTCCTATCTCTTGGAGTCATCCTTGAATTCTCTTTTTCTATTTTTTTCCTCTTTGAATTCTTCAGCAAATTTCGTATACTCTACCCAACACCTTCTGTCACTTTCCCTCCTGGTCTAAGTTACCACAATCTTTTACACAGATTATTGCAATAACCTGCTATCTGGTCTGCTTCATTCTGTCTTTACTCCTCTGCAGTTTTTTCTCAACACAGCAGCTAGATTAAGCCCTTTAAAGTATAAATTAAATAATGTCATGTCTTTGCTCAAAACCCTCCAGTGGCTTCTCATTTCTTTCCAGGTAAATCCTCAAACTTGCAATCTCCTACATGATCTGTTCTTCAGCAAACTCTCCTATCTGACTTCTTAACTTTCTCCTCTTTACTCACCTCTGATTCAGCCACACTGGCCTTATTACACTTCCCAGACTCATCAAAGATACTTTTGTCTCAGGACCTTTGAACTTATGGTTTCTTCTGTCTGGAACACTTTTCTTCCAGTTATCTTCATGACTAAATTTTTATCCCTTTAGTTCTTTGCTCAAATATCTAACAGGGATACCAGTGCTGTTTGCACTGTATAATCTTCACCTACCACCACCACCACCACCACCACCACATCAGCACCCAGCAGCACCCTCAATACCACCTGCACCACATCACCACAGTGACCACCACCACTCCCTTTCCTCTTTATCCTGCTTTGTTATTCTCTATAGCTTTTCTCATCATCTGTTTTTATTTGCTTATTAACCCTCTCCTCTCCCTAGAACATAACCTCCATACTGTTGAATCCTTAGCACCTAGAAGTAGGCCTGGTGTGTAGTAGATGCTCAGTGTTTTACTGAAGAATTAAATGAATGAATGATACAGTAAATTCTTTGTAGGAAGGGACAGTAATGTATTTTTTACCTGCTTCAGCTTTTACAAACATAGAATGCAACTAATCATTTTGTTGACTCAAGAATGGAAAATAATGATGATCTTTTGCCAGTGATAACCACTGATTCTGTTTCCATCTTTTAGTTAAATTAACTGTTTTCAGTTTAGGATTTATTTTGAAGCTAGGACAGGCAGGAAAAAAAGCTCAAGTTTAGCTTTTCATAGTCATTGGGTTCCTACATATTTTCCTATTGCGTGGTGAGCCAGGGTAATTTTTTGGCTTTCACTGAAAGTGTTTCTGCATACTCTGCACACAGTCTGAGTAAGAAAATGTGCACATAATTGTTTTCTTGACTCAGGACCATGTCTGGACGAAGACTTCGAGAGGCAGTTCAAGCAGTAAGTTAAAAATAAAATAACATATCTACATGTTCATATTTGATGAAGAGGAAATTATATCCTATCCCTATGATCCTATGTCTTTTAAATTAATCTTTTTTAAGATGACTAGAGTTCCACATTTCTTGAAATTAATGGCTTAGGTGAATATGAAATATTGGTAGTATCAGAACCAGACTTAGAAAACATAAGGGATTTATCATTAGGTTAAAAATATTTTATTGGTATTTATGTATTAATAATTTAACATTTGATAATGGTTTTATATATTAAATACTAAGTAACCTGTGAGTACCACAATATCTTAAGTTCCTGTGAGCAGTCTAAATAAAATGCATTATACTTTGGGAATTCTGTATTTTATCTGTGCCATATTTTAAATTTTCTTTATATTCAGGCAGTATTGTAAATGGTTCTGAATTGACATGTCAAAAATGTCTTGTTACTTAGCTCTGGAAATTACTATTCTGGTTAGCTAATAGCCAGCCACCCATTAGATTTTTTAACAAGTTGATTTTTTAAATCCCTATTTTAGTAGTAAGAAGTTTCTACATCTGCAACTGTGATCATCAAGGTATTTATAGATCCATTGACTTGTCCAACTTAGTGCAGTTAGAAAAATTTTATTAAGAAAAATATCTTAAACTAATAATGTAATCAATGCTTGTGTGTTAAGGATAACAGAATGATATTATACTTAAAGATGAAGAGTAATTTTACTGGATTTTACTTTTCTCTCCTAGGAATTTGCATCTCATGGGGTGCAGAACATGACTGTTGTTATTTCAGGTCTATGCAATGTCTATACACATTACATTACCACTTATGAAGAATACCAGGTAAAGCTAAAGGTTTTCATAATTTAAATGAATTATACCCCAGTCATGTCAAATACAGACTTGCTTTGTAAACTGTCCTAGTCATGTTTCTGAGAGATGATTATGTTTTAGGTATAGCAGATAAGAGAATGATAAACCAAAGGTCATATTTAAGAGTTTCAAATACATCCTCTTAAGTCCAGGTCAGAATTCTAGTTTTACTGACTTACATTTTCCCTGAAATTAATTATTTTGTCAGGGGCACTGGTAATAAGCCTGAGTTGTGACATAAAACATTTCTAACACTATTCATAATGCATTTGATGCCTTAAACCTCTGTAACACCTGAGAAAACTCCTACTAGTAGCTGTTTATTGAGTGCACTAGTTAAGACTTTGCAAATATTATTTAAAGTAATCCTTACAGTATATCTGGAAGTAGGATATTATTATGTTGATGATATATATTAAGAAACAGAGTCCCAGAGAGTTTGAGGGAGGCTGGTAGCTGGTAATATTTCATTGTTTACAAATAGTCCAGAAAGCAGCCCAAGTACTTTTTAAGTAAAACATGAAAACAGTCCAGAGTCTCATAATTAATAATTTCTGTTAATAATACATCTGCTGGTATATAACAGCAGTGCATACAGAGGCATACAGTCTATCCCTTGGTAAATATTCAGTCATACTAAGAGTGGCCTCTGCCCTGCTACCGTCTGTTGGCTTTCCTGAAGGTCCCTGCCTTCTAGGAATTCCCATTGAAAAAGGGGTCTTAATGATGCTAAACTTGGACAAGAATAATTACATCCTTTCTTCACTACCTCTATTATTAAGCATTTCTGTCAATTATAAATATAGGAAACAAAAATAAATTATTTTAGCAGTACCTCTGTCACCAATAGGAACCACAGATATTTTCATATCACATACAATGATTGCAGATCTAGAAATATCTTTTACTCTTATTGCTGTTTTATAATCACAGTAGTTATTAGATCCACAGATATAACTTGTTATTCAATAGCATAATAAAGAAGCACATACATTACTGTACACAACATTGGTTTATTATAGTTTGGTAAACATATTTCAACCTAATTGGTTTCCTTTGTCAATTCCATGTATTTTATTTTACACCTTTAGAAACATTATTCTGAGGGAGGTCCTTAGGTCTCAACATGCTGCCAAAGGAGTCCATGTCACAAACAAGGTCAGGAACCCCTACTAGCTTGTCTCCTGGTCCAGGTGAGATGGGAGAGTTCCCTGAACCCCTTGCAGTATGTGTGACAGGGGTGTGGCTCATCTTTTCGGCAGCTGTACATGCTGAAACCCTTTATGGGAAGGAGAGCATGCAGACAGGCAGGTGCAGGAGGCAGGGCAAGTGCTTTTGGGTGCCAGCAGGAGCAAATTCCATGAGGGCCCTGCAGCAGTATCTAGGTCTGGGTGCCTGCTACTCTGGAAGCCCAAGTGGGCATGTGTTACATACAGTGCACTTTTTTTTTTAACTTTGCTGTCTGCAGATGGCCTGAGTGTTAAACAGCTCAGTGCCCTCTTGGTACCCAGGTCCTTGTACAGTGTCCAGGAAGAATCAGGTTGCAAATGGACATGAAGGATGAATTCAGGGTTTTATTGAGCGGTAGAGGTAGCTCTCAGTGGGATGAATGGGGAGCTGGAAAGGGGATGGAGTGGGAAGATGATCTTCCCCTGGAGTTTGACTGTCCAGCAGCCGATCTCCTCTCCAGCCATCCCCAGCCAAACTCCTCTCAGAGTTCAGATACTCCTTCTCTTTTCTCTGCTGTGCCATTCTGCCATTCTGCTTTTCTGTTCATCTCCTTGTCTGCTTGTGGAGCTGGGGGTTTGGGGTTTTTATGGGTACAGGATAGGGGGGCATAGTGAATGAAAGCGCAAAACAGAAACGTTTGGGTGCAAAACCGAAAATCCTTGTTCTTGTTTAGGGCCACAGATTTCCAGGCTTAAGGGTGGAACCTTTGCCAAGGAACCACTCTTTTCTAGCCAGTATTTTCCTGTTTCCTGTCCATATCACAGGAATATACTCCTGCAGGGATTACTATTAATTACTTCGTTCATTCAACAGATATGTATTGTTACAGATACTGTGCTAGCCACTTTCTGGGGCATAATGATGAAAAGAATCTGTCCCTTCCCTCAAGATCACTAGAAGTCAGGGGTCAGGGGTCTAGTACAAAGACAGAAAAGAGAACAGACGATAACATTTTCATGAAAGGCATGCACAAGGTGTTATAAAAATAAAGAGAAAGAGCACCAGCCCAGACTGGGTATTTGAGGACTGGGACTGTTCAGGAAGATGTAACATCTGTATGAGTTCTTGAGAACAAGTGAGAGTCAGGCAAATAAAAAGTAAGAATGTATCTCATATAGAAGAAACTATATATGCAAAGGTCCAGAGGGCAGGCACATTGATGGAGCATAATTAGTTGAGTAGCATGGAGTAAGTGTGAGAAGTTGATGGTAAGGAGATGGGGGCCAGAGTGGGAGACACAGGTTAGCTAATGGATAGTCTTACATGCTATGCTACAGAGCTTTCATTCAGTAAGGAAGGCTTTGGGGGAACTGCAGTAGGATTCTAAGCAAGAGAATGCTTTGATAAAATTTTGTGATTTAGAAAGGTCAATAGGATGGCAGTGTGGAAAAGGAATTGGAAGGGCTTGTATATGGGCAGAGGACTGGTTAAGAAGCCATAGTGTAGTTACGATCTGGGCAAGACATGGACATGCATACTTGAGGGTGAAGGCTGGGAGGAGGGAGAGGATCAAAAAACTACTTGTCACGTACTCTGCTTATTACCTGGCTGATGAAATAATCTGTATAACCAACCCTCATGACATGTGATTTACCAGTGTAACAAACCTACACATATACTCCTGAACCTAATATAAAATTTAAAAAAAAAAAAGATCTGGGTGAGAGATGAGGGTTTGAACTAAGGTAAAATCTACTTATACCTTAGGAGAAAGTAAGACAGGAAAACGAAGGAACTCAGGAGATTTGAAGGAGACAGAATTACCACATTTGGAGACTGATAGGATACAGGATGAGGGAGAGAGGAGTCTAAGGAAACTGCAGGCTGATCCTCACATGGGAGAGTGGAAAGATGACATTCGCTGAGATGAGAATGTTGAATGTTGTGGAGGAAGCTGATATGTCTGGAGTGGTGAAATTGGTTTTAGATTTGATGACTTTGAAGTTCCTGTAAAAGAGCCAAAGACCTGGAGGTCAGGTAAAAGATACATTTGGCTCCGTTTCATGGCTGTGATGGATTAAATGTCCTTCTCCAGTTAGTACCTTCTAACTATTTATCCAGAAGTTATAAGGACTCTTTTTATTTTGTTTTTTCTTCTGACATATGCCCTGGGGGAAAGCATTTATATTACAAGTACTTACAATAGACTAAAGCTTAGGAGCTAGCACCCTCTTTCATAGTAAATAGAGTGACAGTCTAAATGGCATAAGCAGAGAGAACCTACTGCTTTTAATAGGTAGTTGATGGGAATCGCTTACCTTGGCCAGTAAATGGAAATGCCCATCCTCTTTTGTCATACATAATCTTGAATATTATGCCAGTTTTGAATAATGTGAGATGTCAAGTATCACATTTACCTAAAATGCTATACCTCTGTAAATGGATTTAAATATGCAGAACCATATACAACTCTCCCTGCCTTTCCTGCAGGCTCAGCGATATGAGGCAGCATCGACAATTTATGGACCTCACACGTTATCTGCTTACATTCAGCTTTTCAGAAACCTTGCTAAGGCTATAGCTACGGTAATCAAATATTGTTTGTGGGTGTGTGGGTGTGTGTATGTGTGTGTGTGTGTGTGTGTATGTCTCCATGTGTCTGTGTCTGGTGAGAAAATGCAGAGAGAAGCAAAAGAGAACCTTAGCTTCGAGTGCTCAGTTTCTTTGACAACCTTTATATTTTACAAAACTTATAGCTTTGTAGTATCTCTGAGAAAAATAAAATTTCTTTCCAAATTTTGGATCTAGTTAACATCCTTTCGTGGTGGCAGCTTCTTTCATATATATTATCTCATTATTTTTACAACCATCATGTGAAGTTAAGGAGATATCATTTCTCCCCAGTTTTCAGAGGAGCACATAGACTTGAAGATAAGTGAGGAAGCTTACTATACCTGGGAGTTGAACCTGTGTTCTCTAATCCTTGCCAGATTCTCCCCATTCGCTCCAAGAGTTGAGTAGGCCAGCATTCTAAGATGCCCATTTTCCACATAATAATATCTCAGAAATTGGGATGCATTTTCCAATCAGAGGAATCTTATTATAATTAGTAGCATGCTTTTACTTTCTTGGTGGTTCAAAAGATTATATGAGTTGTTAAATCAATGGAAGCTTAGATTTGATGTAAAAATGGTGGTGCCTTGGAATGAACACATTGCATCTACCTAAAATACATACCACTGAACAAGTTTACTTGATATAAAGGAACTTCACTTGTGGAAATATTCCCTTTGGATGCAGTTGTTTATGAAGCTGTAACTGTAATGTCAGAAGGTTAGTCAACAAACAGGATAAAGGGCTTAAAATAGTAAGCAGCCCCTTATATAATAATATGTAAGCCTCAATAAAAAATGTGAAACAATTGTGGCGTAGCAAAGAAAATAAAGCCCTTTTAATGAAAGAGCTTGGATGTATTAAATTGAAATAAATGAAATGGTTGTCTCTGTAGGTTGCATCAGTCGAATGTTGAACATTTCATATGGCTGTATTATTAGTTACTGATTGTGTGTTTGAAATTTCAGTATTTTATATAATTTCTTTGCACATATTTTAATCAATTGATATTTATTTTCATTTTATCATAATTTTGCTCTCAGTTTTAGGTTACTTTTTTTTTTGAATAACTGTCTGTATTTATTTATTTATTTGTTTCTATTATAAAAGCCAAATCTATTTGTAGGACATTCATATTATACAGAAAAGTATAAACCTATAACCCATCCCTAGAGGTAACTGCTGTTTAACTGTCACTATGCTCATAGGTCTATAGTTCTTCCCATGAAAATAGATTCTTCAAATTTTGTAGTGACAATGGAGAAAAATGCAATTAATTTGGTGGAAATTTGTTTTACAGTCAAATTTCAGGTCAAGCACCTTAAAACTAGCCATGTGATCTTGAAAAAAACCACTGAATATGTCCAAGCCTATTTTCTCATTTGCAAAATGGGAATGGTAATACATAACCTATCTCATATGCAGTTGTAGAGATTAAATCTATAATGTGAGGAATAAAGAACATTAAATATTCATTGAAAGTAATGGCAAAATGCCAATTACTTTTGTACCAACCTAATATATATCAAGGGATATTTGAAAATTGAGATTTGTATTTTTATGACACTATTAAAAATGGTAAACTTTGTGGGCAACATAGATTAAACCAGTCAGGATATGGGATGATCTTAAATTTTAAATTAAAAGTATATTTATTATATTCTTTTATTAGAACAGACAAGAATCTAGGAAAAATCTTGGTACTGATTCCAGATGAGAGTGGCTCAATACTTTTTTAAAATTAAAATAATAATTACAGTGTCATGTTATAATTACCTTTTTGCATGGTAGGCCCCTGTGCAAAGTCACACAATTCGAAAGTATGCTTCCAACCTTGTACTCTGGTCACTGTCCTTATGTTGTCTAGGGGGATAAAAGAGCTGCCTATGACCAAAACTTTCTCCCAGTGACAAGAGTTTAAATTGTTAATTTCTAGGCTCATGCTTAGCAAGGCTGCCTTCCTATTTTCTCAAGGTTATTAGCTCTTGGAGTGTGTATGAGTATGTGTGTGTGCACTCTTCCATTAATGAAGGCATTTCAGGAACTGGAAGCCTGGGAAAAGGGTCTTTGACTCTACGTATGCACTCCTTAACAAATGCTCTCCGTTCCAGGACACAGTAGCCAACCTGAGCAGAGGCCCAGAACCTCCATTTTTCCAACAATTAATACTTCCATTAATTCCTAATATTGTGGATAGAGCACCAATAGGCAGAACTTTTGGGGATGTCCTGCAGCCAGCAAAACCTGAATACAGAGTGGTAAGACCCACGCGCAGACCTTGGAATCCTTTAGAGGCTTGTTTTTGGGGATGAGGAGAAGGATGACACTTAGTGTCACCATTTGCCTCTAATCACGCTGTAGACCAGCTGTTAGCAATGATAATTTTGACAATTGTTCTTATCTCCGCAAAAGTAATGAGAATGGGAAAATATTTATTTTTTGTTAGTAATTGTGTCAAATTGAAATTCTAAAATCCAAATTATTCCTTTTCCTAAATGAATGATCATGGAACTATTCACTGACACTGAGAGTTGTCTCTTAAATCAAGGATAGGAAAAACATACAGAAATGAAGCAGAATTTGTACCATTACTATTTTATATCAATCTTGTGCCCTGAAAGCTTGCTGAATCAGTTATTAGTTTCAATTGTTTTTTTGGGGGGGGGGCAGGGAATGAATAAGAGGGGAGTCTGGATTCCTTAGGAATTTCTACATATAGTATCATGTCATCTGTGAATAAAAATAAACTTATTTATTACTTTCTATATTTCTTTTCTGAATGCATCTAATTATTTTTCCTTATTGGACTGGCTAGAACCTTCAAGAGAATATTTTGCTTTTTAAAAAATTTTATTTAATTTTCTAATTGATAAATAAAATTATACATATTTATTGTGTACAAGATGGTGGTTTGAAATATGTATACATGGGGAATGGCTCAATTGAGCTAATTAACATACGAATTATGTCACATTCTTATTATTTTTTGTTGTGAGAAAATTTTAGACTCTCTTAACAATTTTTAAAAAACAATACATTGTTTTAACTGAAGTCATCAAGTTGTACAGTAGACCTCTTAAACTTATTCGCCTTGTCTAAATGAAATTTTATATTCCTTGATCAATACCTCCCCAACCCCTTAACCACCTAGCCCCTGGTAACCAACCTTCTGCCAACATTCTACTCTCTACTTCTATGAGTTTAACTCTTTAAGGTTCTACATATAAATGAGATCATGTGGTATTTATCTTTCTGTACCTGGCTTATTTCACTGAGTCTACTGTTCTCCAGGTTTATCCATGTTGTGTCAAATGTAAGGATCTCATTCTTATTTATGGCTGAATAGTATTCCTTTGTGTATATGTACTACATTTTCTTTATCCATTCATCCATTGATGGACACTTACGTTGTTTCATATCTTGGCTATTGTGAACAGTGCTACAATAAACATGGGAATGCACATATCTTTTCAACAAACTGATTTCATTTCCTTTGGATATAGACCCAGAAATGGTATTGTGTATAATATTTTACAGTAGTTCTATTTTTAATTTTTTGAGAAACCTCTTGCTGCTTTTCATAATGGCTGAACTAATTCACGTTCTCATGAACAGTGTGTGAGAGTTACCTTTTTCTACATTCTTATCAACACTTATCTTATGTCTTTTTTAATATTATGCATTCTAACAGGTGTGAGGTGATATCTCGTTGTAGTTTAATTTGCATTTCTTTGATGATCACTGATATCAAACATTTTAAAAAATATCCTGTTGATCATTTGTATGTCTTCTTTGGAGAAATGTTTATTCAGGTCCTTTTCTTATTTTCAAATTGGGTTATTTGTTTTCTTGCTATTGAGTTGTTTGAGTACCTTATATCTTTTAGATATTAACTCTCTATTGGATGCATAGTTTGCAAATGTTTTCTCCCATTCCTTAGGTTGTCTTCTCACTTTGTTATTATTATTATTTCTTCGTTGTGCAGAAACTGTTTAGTTTGATGTAATATCATGTATCGGTTTTTGTTTTTGTTGCTTTTGTTGCTTTTGCATTAGGGGTCACATTTGAAAAAAACAACAACAACATTACCTACACCAACATCATGGAGCTTTTCCTCTAGGTTTTCTTTCAGTTGTTTTATAGTTTCAGGTCTTATATTTAAATATTTAATCAATTTTGAGTCAATTTTTATATTTCATTCTTCTGCATGTGGCTATCCAGTTTTCCCAACACCATTTATGGAAGGGACTGTCACTTCCCCACTGTGCATTCTTGGCACCTTTGTCAAAAATAAATTTATCATAAATGTGCGGGCTTATTTATGAGCTCCATTGGTCTATGTGTACCAATGGTGTGTTGATTGCTTTAGGCCAGTACCATGCTGTGTTGATTACTATAGCTTTGTAGTATATTTTGAAGTCAGGTTGTGTGGTACTTTCAGTTTTTTTCTTTTTGCTGAAGATCCAATCCAATGTCAAATAGAAGTTGTGAGACTGGACACTCTTGTCTTGTTTACAATCTTAGTAGAAAGGTATTCAGTTTTTCACCATCTAGTGTGATGTTTTCTTTTGGATTTTTGTAGATTCTCTTTTTCATGTTGAGAAAGTTACCTTTTATGCCTAACTTATTGAGAGTTTTTATCAGAAATAAGTGGTGGATTTTTGCAATTTTTTTTCTACTGAGGTGACAATGTGGTTTTTGTCTTTTATTATTTTAATATGGTATTTGCATTCATTGGTTTTCAGATGTTAAATAAATGCCATACCATTTAGTCATGGTGTATAACCCTTTTTAGATGTTGCTGAATTTGATTTGCTAACATATTGTAAGGAGTTTTCTACTTATGTCTATGAGGCATATTTTTAGTTTTCTTTTTATGTGTTTTCTTTGCCTTTGGTATCGGGGCAATAGTGGTTTCAAAGAATGAGTTGGGAAATGTTTCCTCTTGTACTTTCTGAAAAAGTATCTAAAAGATTGGCATTATTTACTCTTTAAATATTTGATTGGATTGACTAGCAAGGCCATATGGACCTGGCTTTCCTTTATGGCAAAATTTTTATTACTAATTCAATTTCTTTACTTGTTATATGTCCATTCGTATTTCCTGTTTTTTTTTCTTGCATCGATTTTGTGTCTTTATAGGAATTTATCTTTATAGGAATTGATATCATTCTAGGGGAATTTTCTCATTTCATATAAGTTGTTTACCTTGTTGTTGTAATATAAAAGTTGTCATTGCTCATCATAATCTCCTCTAATCCTTTTAATCTCTGAAGAGTTGACAATGATGTACCCTCTTTCTTTCTAATTTTGGTAATTTGTGTTCTCAAAGAACTAGCATTTAGTTTTAGTGCTTTTACCTATTGTATTACCTATTACTAAACTTTTTAGGCAAGACCAGAGCAGCTTTTCACCTTGAGCAAATCCCTTCCCTACTTCCCCCAGCACCTCCCATCCCCTCACGCACTGAGGTAAAATTCTTTTGAATTATGCGGTTTTCCAGTCTGGTCTGGTGGAAACGGAATCTTGTCACAACTCTCTATGAGCCTGGGGACTGTTCTCTGTAATTCTGTTAGCCCATTCTTTTCCTGGCTTCCAATAGTTCCCTTATATGCATGCAAACTTGAGGAGAGCTTTCTGCAAATCTCCAGGTTTCTGCCTCTGTGCAGCTCTTCTATGATGCTCTGTGCTATAAACTCAAGACTATTTGCCATTTGTGGACTCCCAGCTCCATATCCTCAACTTAGACTGCCAGACTTGGCCTGAATTCTCCTCCTTCTGCCATGGCCTATAAACTCTGATGACATTGAGCTGGTGAATTACGGGGTTCATCTTGTTTGTTTGCTGGCACTCAAATATCACCGTCCTTCATTGTCACTTGAAAATCCATTGTTTAATATATATTTTTTCCAGTTTTTTAGTTAGTTGTTTCAGGTGGGAAGATAAATACACATCCTGCCACTCCATCTCTTATAAAAATATAATCTTAACTATAAATGTAAGCATAAATATGAGTCATCTGTGGAAAGTTTTCACTGTTCTAATTTTGATTCAAATATTCCCTGTATTTGTGTTGAGAGGGAGTTATGAGGAATTATCAAGGCCTGAAGAAGCCACTTTAATGTGCTGTCACTAATATGAACTACAGCTCTAGATCTTCACTTGTATCTGAGTCTACCAAAAGCAAACTCATTGGCCAAACATTCCTATGTCTATTGTTGCAAGGGTTAATATTCTTAGAAGATAACTTACTTGATTAAATACAATGAAATCTATAAAGGCACCCTAAATAATAAAATTTATAATAAATAGTGCCAAAATATGAGTATAGCAAAAATCCTTTTATTAGAAGTCATTAAATGAATTTTTATTTTCAGGGAGAAGTTGCTGAAGTTATATTTGTAGGTGCTAACCCGAAGAATTCAGCACAAAACGAGGTAGGCATCAATGATTTTCTTTTACAAATGTAAATCCACCTTTCAGCCATTCATTCATTTAAATATCCCTCTAGAGGTTAATATCATAAAGACAAAATGTTCCAACTTGTTTTCCATCTTATTTTGTAGGTATGGGAAAATATTCAATGAGTACAGTTAATGTGGATTGAGTCTGGGTAAAAGCACACAGGAAATATATAATTGGCTATTTAGGACCAAGTATAGCATAATGCATGTATGACTGCATTGTCAAGAAGATGTTAAGTTGAATACAATCACATATATGTATAGTTATGCACCATATATAATGATGTTTCAGTCGAAGATGAACTGCATTTATGACAGTGGTCCCATGAGATTATAATAGTATACTTTTACTGTACCTCTTCTACGTTTAGGTATGTTGAGATACACAAATACTTACCATCATGTTATAATTGCCTACAACATTCAATACAGTAATGGGCTGTACAGATTTGTAGCCTAGGAGCCAGAGGCTATACTCTATAGCCTAGGTGTGTAGGAGACTACACCATCTAAGTTTGTGTAAGTCTAAGTCTGTGATGCTCATACAATGATGAATTTGCCTAACGATGCACTTCTCAGGATGTATCCAATGTATGACTGTATTCAAATATATAGAACTCTACCAAATGTTGTGAAATAATCAAAGGGCCAACTGAAGGATGTGTGTCTTTGGCTCCTTCTTCTCTTTTTGGCTGTCTTCTCCTCCTCTACACTACCACCTCTGGTCCTACCTGTACTGTTGTGGAATGGTCATGGATCCCTGGGTGGATACTCTCATGGCTTGGAGTCCTGGCACATGTGCTTTACTTTATCTTGCACTGGCCATTTTCCTATTATTTACTACTGGTGTTAATAGGGCATTTAATTATTAAACTTAAAAAATGACATTCAAAATACATGTCCAATGTGAAAACAATATAAGAGTGCAGAAAATAGAATATATATGTTCTCTTCTACTCACAAACCTGCTTTGCAGAGGTAATAGCTGTTAAGAGTTTTTTAATAAAGCATTTCAGACTTTTTTGTTTTTATCATATGTATGATAAACTATATACATATGTAATATATCTATTAATAAAATTATACTTCTATAGCTTCCTTAACATGTATTTATAACTACACAAGCAATAACTGGACACATTCTAGTTGTAAAACCTCAAATAATAAAGGAATTTATAGTGGAAAAACAGTGGGCATACGACTGTGATTTCAAGGTCATGGTTTTTACTATGGCTGAGGATGCATTCCTTCTATCAATTAGCTGTTCTTCCCAGGGCACATAGTCACTTATAATCCAAAAATACCTTCCTTCCAAAAGAACCTTCCCATTCCTGTTCATTAAAATGTCATTATTGCCAAGATAACAATTGTGGCAATATGACATTCTCAAATGTCATTCTCAAAAAAATATGACATTGGGGGATAGTCTTCTACTTCTTAGGTAGTCAATATGTACCTGTTTGAAGCAATTTCTTTAGGAGGTCAATCTGTGCCATAATAGTTACATGTTTATAACATTATTTTCTGAAGATATCAAAGTGTTATATCAAAACTGCAGGTTTACCTGTCATCTGATACGCCTAGGGTAGAGAAATTCTATCATCATTATTGCCATGGAGAAGCAGGAGAACAAAACATTTAGAGTACTGTAGTGGTAATAGAATTAATTTTAAAGAATGCTTTGGGACTTGGTATAAAACAATTTCCAGTACCCTCCATTATTAGTAACTGTCATCACTATTTATGGAATGCTTACTATTTTGCAGGTACTATTTGCAAGTATTCCTATTAAAGTGCTTTATATGGATTATCACATGATTAATTCCATCCTTACAACTACCCAATGAGTTAAGTTTTATTACCTCTATTTTCCAGATGAATAAACTGAGGGCTGGAGAGAGAAAGTAACTTATATTAACTAATTATGCATCTGGAAGAGATTGTGGTAGAGTAGTTGGGAAAAAATTGTCATATGTTTTATCCCTGGTATTCAGAGGCCTAGACTTGTTCTTCAGTCTATACTCTAGACATATTCAAAAAGCCTACTGTATCTTCTCCATCTAAGGCCTTCCCAATGTCATTTGCCCTAAATAGACAGAAATAACTCTCTTTACAAGTTCCTATGGTTATGAAAACTTCCTTATTGAATGTAATTCATCAGTTGAATACTTAAAGAAGAATTTTAAACAATTTCATGGCCCACATGTAAATAGGTGATCCATTTAGCAAGGGGTTATTAGAGCACCAGTAAATGACAGATGTAAAGGACTGTGATAAATATAGGTGAATTAAACATGTGCCTTTTAGGGTCACAATCTCAGGGATTTAAAGGGATACTAGAAATTTATAGCCTTTGTCTTTATTAACTTGTCATATTATTCAAATCTGCGCTTTGTTTGAAGCTGAATTCTTGGTCTGAAACAAATTCTTCTATTATAATAATCTTCCAATGGGGAAATAAAATCTTTTTATGATGTGGTTTCTAGGAATCTATTATAAAAATCTAGAGACCTCCTTTAGCACCCCAGGATAGGGAAGATTTATGTATTCTTTTCAATTCTTTCATGCAGGGAGGTACGTTAACTAATAATTCATTCACCTAGAGATAGAAAATAGATTAAACTTTACCATTTTCCCTTCTAAATCTTGAGGTGACTAGAGAAAGTCTTGGGATATTTAGATCAATAAGCATGTCACGAAAAGGCTCGACTTATACCTTTTTAAAATCTCAAGTAAGTTTTATTTCCAGCCTCTTTTCTGCCCTAATTTTCAAAATTTGCTATTAACTCTAAAATTATGCTTCTTTCAAATTTCTAAAAAAGTCATTTTTTTTAATACACTGGATAAATTAACATTCTGAGTACATTGCATAGAATGTTAAGAGGAAAGCCTAAGAATGTGGATGAAATTCTAACACATTTTCACACAAGGTACTGGTAGGCTAACATATGGTCAACAAGGGGAGTATTTTACAAACGGGTTCCTAATTGCATTTCAGACCCATCAGACCTTCCTCACTGTGGAGAAATATGAGGCTACTTCAACGTCGTGGCAGATAGTGTGTAATGATGCCTCCTGGGAGACTCGGTGAGCACATCTATTGAATATTTTTGTATTTCAAGCTTTGAAAACAGTTGGCTTGTAATGCTGGGAAGACAAATGAAAAGACTGGCTCAATACAAGGTATTAATGATATCAAATTCTCAAGGAGCTTTCCGGCCATATTTAGTTGATTTATTAGATTTCATTTTGATTCATTTTTCTACAAAACAGTGTGGTGTGTGCTTCTGTAAGATTAGGTGCTAATGAGGTTATGGCTTCCATTCTTACAGACATCTGTTCTGTTTTTTTGCCCCATGGTCACAGGTATTATTTCTGAAATCTAACTAGCTTTATTGCAAATTGGTTGAAAGGAGTGTGGAGTAAAAGTATTGAGATGTCTCTGTAGAGCTTGATATTTCTATAGGGAAAATGAGTCTATACCTGATATGTATTGCATGTTTCTATGTGATCAATGATTCTTAATTTGAGTTACTAAAACGCTATAGGCTTGGGTGTTTAACCCTTAATGACTTGAGTGAGGAGATAATATACTCATGCAATTTCCTCAGAGAGACATATCTCTTTGCTTTTAGCTACCAAATTCCTGAGCTGAATAGATATTTTGAAGATTTGACAATGTGTCTGAAATAAGACAATATTTCTGTTCCCAAGTCTATACATTTCGCATTCTAGGACAGTGGCATGGAAGTAGGTACAGTTTTTGGCTATTTGGGTCTAATTCAGATCGCCTCAACTAAGTGATACTAATTTGTTAAACGTAAGTATGTTAGTATGGTTCAGATGGTTAATTGAAAATAGGAATTTGACCATGGCCCACTTGATAACCATATACAAATATGGGCATAATTTTTCTTTGGTAATTAGAGCTGTAGAGTATAGGTAAATTTTTAAACAAGTAATGCATATTTATCATTTAAAAGGTTATACAGGTAATAAAAATAATGATTTATATTTAAATGCTAAAAGTTTTTAGCTAATAGCAGTCAATACTGAGGATATGTTTAGATCCCTGCCTTGTTCATTAGCAGCAGAATAATCAAATATTTGTTGAGAGTACTGAACCCATCACTGAGAAACATAGAATGTCGAGCACACTCTCTGTGCCCAAGAGATTAACTTTCAACGTAACTGAGGATGTCAATCAGTTAGCCCATTGTATCTCATTGAGTCTAGAAGAGTGTCTGAACTCTCTGCTGTGATCTGCACGGGCCAACATGATCTGGTTCCATCTGTTTCTCTCATCTCAAGCACTCTTCCGTGGTTTACTATTCCCTGTACCAACCGACCTGCTTTCTGCTTTGTGGCCACATCAAGTTTGTTCCTGCTTTGGACACTTTGTATTTTCTGTTCCTTCTTGTTAGAATGTTTTTCCCTCCAGATTTTTGCAGACTCACTTTAAATGACATCTCCCTAAAAAAACTTCCATCTTGTTTTCTACATTACATTTGTCATTCTTAAGATTTTTATATTTATTGCTTTATTTGTTTATTGCATTTATTTCCATCCTCAACCCAGTAGAACATAAGCTTCATAAAACTTGGGACCATATCTATCTTGCTCCTTACTGTACCCTCAGTACTTCTAGAAGAGAGTCTGACATGTATTCATTATATATATACATAAAACAAATGAATCTAGATGTGAAAATAAGTGTCAGATAAAGGCTAAAAGAGTACTTTGCAATTCTACAACAGGAGAGACATCTTGTGGCTATCAGGTAAGGTTTTCCGGGATGAATATAATTTAGGTAGGAAGAAAGGTGGAACAAGTAAAGCTATTTCTACAAATTGCTGTTCTTTAAAGTTTCTCTTCTAGAAAATAGACGTTTTTGTCTGTTGTGTTCATTGCTGTATCTTCAATGTCTAGATAGTGCCTTGCTCATTATAGGTACTCCCTGAATATTCATTAAATGAATAATCAGTATTTTTTCTAATTACACATTTTTAAGAGTAAAATTGAGTTTTGCTTGCTTGTTTGTTTTCTATCAACAGTTTTTATTGGCACAAGGGACTCCTGGGTCTGAGTAATGCAACAGTGGAATGGCATATTCCAGACACTGCCCAGCCTGGAATCTACAGAATAAGATATTTTGGACACAATCGGAAGCAGGACATTCTGAAGCCTGCTGTCATACTTTCATTTGAAGGCACTTCCCCTGCTTTTGAAGTTGTAACTACTTAGTGAAAAATTGGCAGATCATGTGAAGAACAGCATTACTCTGTACACATTATATAAGTGATTTCAAATGAATGTGAACTAGTGAACTACTATGTTGACTTCTATGATCGTCCTTATTTGGGGACAGATAGTTTACTGCTAATGGGGCAGAGGGGTGTGTGTGTGTGTGAGAGAGAGAGACAGACAGAGAGAGAGAGAGAGGTTTGTCCCATATATCTTGTTCCAGCAGCCATATACCTTGTGGTCTACAGCCTAAAGCATGATTTCCCTTGAAGCCTTGGGGTTGTTGAAACGAGAGTTCCTTCAATATAAAACCTCTGAAATATTAGTGAGAATGGCTGAATACATGTGAACAATGTTTAACCTATTTATTTATATAAATAATTATTGGATGTTAGTACTGGGAAAGTTTATAGAAATCATCTAGTCTTATTGTTCATCTTACAGATAAGAAAAATGGTCTTTTCTTATAATCACATTTACAAAATATGATATACACCTTGATCATAAATGTATGAGCCTAATTAGAGAAACAGAAAATCAGCATGTCAGTTTTTCCTCATTCAAAATAACATAGCCTTTCTAAGCAGTCATTCTGGAGTTAACATGCTTAGTTCAGAGTTGTTGTGGATGCTCAAATCATTTCTGGAATTGCCTTCAGAACTCAATTATGAAAAAGCCAGACTTGCAGTATTTTGATCATGCCTTGTGTTTTCCGAAGTGTCCTTATCCCACTGGATTGTGTCTCTTATCCTCAAGACTTATTCCAAATGATTTTTTTGACTCTTTTCATTAATCAAATTCACCCCAAACCAGAAAGCTTTGCCATTAGTGTACATATTAAAAGTATTACTGGCTGGGAAAGCACTCCTCAGAGCAAAGGTTCTAAATTAATTTATCTGTTCTTTTACCATTTGTTCACTCACTCACGGACCCATTCAATCATAGAATATTTACGATTTATATGCCCAGAATTACAGTGGTGCCTGGGCCTTGATAATTAGTGAAATTGTACTTGGGATGAATATGTAAGTGTCAAAAGGTAATTATTATGAAGGAGAAAGTAATCAATTTAATATGTAAATTCCAGGGAGGCATTTAAAAAATCAGTAATCTTCAAGTTACATCTTGGGTATCATCTGTGTTGGATACTCTAATTTTGGGGTAAAGAGGCTCCAGACAGTTTGCTAAATACTATTTTGAAAGTTGTTTTTGGGCATTGTAAAATACCTAGCCTCATGCCCCAAAGAGTAAGATATGACAATCTGACATCAATTGCCTGAAAGTACTAATTGCATTTAAAATCCTTTAAGTTAACTAGGAGCTCCCAGACTGCAAAGCAAATTTCCAAACCCAGGTCATACTTTTGTATTGTATGTAAAAGCTCTAGCATTTTAGGGAAAATATCAATCTGTATTTCAAAAATAAACTTTGAGGTCTGAAAATAATAACAATATTAATGATGGTAATATTAACATCCATTATGTATAACTTAATCTCAACATAATTTATTGAATTAGAATGAACCTGGAACACTTTTTGATGAATAGGCATCTTAGAGGCTGTTTCCATGGACATTAACTGCTGGAGGATTAGGCAATCAGGGATTCCAAGTGTGTGATCATTTTTCTAATGACACCACAGTCTTTAGTGTAAAAGTTCAGGAGCCTAAAAGAACAAGTGATCCTGAAAGTAGCTGATCCCAGACAAGAAAATTATATTAGAACTCATGATATGGTTTTTAAAAGTATTTGTTATTACTCAGAAGGGTTCATGAATCATTTTCCACTACCTCTATGCCTTCTATTGAAGCTTTCCTCAATCTACTTGTGATTCCTGATAGCTCACTGGCAACTGTACCAAGGTGGTCACTGTATCATCTACTGACCCTTCTGCACCCAGCACTCTTGGTCCCAGATAACTCATAGAAACCTATTTCCTTACCAGCTGCCATTTCTTCTAGGCCATGCAGTTCTATGTTTGCAGTTCATGTGTAAAAATAAAACCAAATTCCTGGATTATCAATATTGGTTCTGTATCTATGCATAAAAGAATATTATGAAGTAACTGAACTTATCTATTGATATAAAAACACAGATCCAATTCGTGTCTGTGGATGCTGCAGGGACTGGCTCATTGGAGCCAAACCATGTGGCGGAAACTCCTGAAATTGGTGGAAAAAGTGGAATATGGCAGATTGGGTAGGTAGGAGAACAATTTTGGAGATTTTGTTAAAGTGTCTGCATTTTATTTGCTGTACCCTGCCTACTCTGGTTTTAAGGATTCTGTGACTTCTTTGAAAAGCACTGAATAATCTCTTTTCCAGGTCTAGATTTTTTGATGAGTACTGAGTAAAATTGTCAACATTCAATGGATTATTTAATAATAAATTAAGAATTACACTCATAAAAGTATTGTCTAATGAAAGGTAATGTAGACAAATGAACACTTTTTTAAAAAAAGAGGTGGAATAAAAGGTGTTAGATTACATGTAAATTAGGTTGGAAAGTGGTACAAATGACTAATAAATAACCACTGAAGCACAAGGGAACCACTTCTTTATCAGTTCCTTTCCAACTTCTGAAGATGTACTGCTGGAAAAACACATGTATGGTTGGCATTTCTTTTATTTTCTTTCTCTTTTTTACTAGTTGGGCAAAAAAATTTCCTAGGCAGGTAGCTAACTATGAAATGGTTTCATGAGCTAATTCTGAACAAAAAGACCAAGAATGAATTCACTTATGAATGTCCTTTTCTAATGTGCCCTCTTATGCTTCTCCTCCAACATAAGCGAGCTTACTGTCTTTTTCTACTATTAGCTCATGGATTCTATCTTTAGCCAAAAGGTTTCATCACTGGATAAACTTCTCATGTGTTTAGTTCTTCCAAATGATGCTCTTGCTTCCTGGGTATCCAATCTGACTTGCTGGTTTATATTGGCTTCCAAAATTTTAGAGTGATAGGGTATCGGAGAGGGAAATTTGCACATTCTTTACACAATTAGTTAGAATGCATTCAGCTGTAACTCAGAAAATATTCCTGATCAACATCCATCCAAATACTGAAGACATTTATAACCTCACATAGCAGTAAGTCTTGAAGTGATAAATTCAGGTTTCGTGCAGCCACTTAGTGGCTCTTCTTAACATACTGACTTAATTCTTAGGCTTATCTTCTTGGCTAAAAGATCGCTACCTCGTGTCTACATACAATTGAATGAAGCAGCAAAATGGGAAAAGAGTTCTCTTTATAATACCCTTTTGGAAGGTGGAAAGTAGTAGGAACACAAGTTGAATTTTCCTTCTATTTCCTTGTTCAGAACGGTGCCACACAGCTACTCTTACCTGCAAGGGAGACTGGAAAAAAGAACATTTAGTATTTTGTGCTTCTAGAGAGTGAGGCAAGTTCTGATAGTAAGAAAAAAGAGACAGCCGAAGTAGCTGACATACAAGTATGTCAGTCAAGACAGATTAGTTAAGCTACAACATTAGAGATTTATTTCTTGATCTCATGACCTGTTCATCGAGGTTAGCTGAAGGATCTGTTCCACACCCTTCTCATTTGGGTTCACAGCCTGACAGAGATTTCCATTCTAAGCATTCTTCCATTGTGAGGGAACAGGAACAGGTGCTTCCATGATTAGGGGGAAGGGACAGGGAGAATCATGCAATAGTTCGTGAAGCTCCCACATTACTGTGCATTTTTCACTGGGCAGGTGACGGAACCAGGATGTTTGCAAGCAGCCCTAAAGTTTACCACAATGGGCAAGGAATAATATCTGCATATCCAACTTAACTGCTCTCTGAAATAATTATAACTAGTTTTACTCTAGAAAACATATTTTGGAAAAGGACACACATTGGAATCATGATGAAAAAATTGCTTTCTGTATTGCAAAATGTTTACATTCCTTTAACAGATTTATATCAAGCACCTATATACTTTGTGGCAGAAATTATACTAAATCCTAAGAATGAAACAATAATGAAGGCAAAGCTATTCCCTGCCAAAAGAAACTTACAGTTTAATGAACAAAGCAAACAGATAAACAAGTAATTACTGTACAGGGTGACCCATATTGTTATTGTTCAGGGAATGAGAGAGAGCACCTAATATGGTCTTGGGGATGTTTCAATAAGTTTCCTGGAAGAAATAACATATAAGCTAAGACTTCAAAGATATGTAGAAATTAGCTAGAAGAAAGGCAATGGTGTGTGCATGTATGTGTGTATTTGTGTGTGTTTGTGTTTGTGTACTGGGCAAATAGACTATACCATGTAGAGGGAATATTGAGTACTTTATCAAGGTTGTAGTTAGAGTATAAGGGAAGAGTTGACAGTGAGGCAGCACTAAACTTTACTTTCATAAATAGCAATTTGGTTTTATACTTGTATTAGCATTTTTCCCCCTTGAGACTTCCCCTATAACATCAAAGTCCTTGAATGTATTTGCCATTTGCTCTAATAATAAAATACACTTTCTATAACCAAAAAACTTACCTTGGCTCCCAGTTTCCAGTGCCACTTAGTGTCATCCTTCTGTCTTCAGGGCTATAACACTGTCCATAGACAAACCCATGGAATTGAATTTATTCAGACTTCTTTTGCTTATGTCAATTTCATGTTTCCAAATCTATGATTTCTTTTGTTTGTTTGTTTGTTTGTTTGTTTGTTGTACCTGCTAAAATGGCACATATAGCCAATGAAGACCATTCTCTCCCTTTAGATAGCGTTCAGAGTTCCAGCCTTACAAGTTCATAAATACTTGTGAATACTAAAAATTAGAGCCACCTACATAAAATGCAAAGCATCTTGACCTGCATACTGCCAAGTTATCAGGGACCCAGCTTCTGTTGGTCTTATTTCTGGATGTTTTTCAACCATAATGAAAAAGTAGAAGCCTGGATGTATGGGGTCAATACTAGCTAGAGGAGAATAGAAGATCTACTATCCCTGTCTGAAATCAGATATCTGGAAACATTGACTTGCCCATATTTTCTGTCTCATTGTATTTTTTCATATTCAGTATAAAAGATTTACCCTTTTTTTTCCGGACCAAAGTAAGCTAAATGGACAAAA